GAGGAAGGAAGGGAGGAAGGATAGTAATACATGATACTAAACATTCAGCCATGAGCTGCAAAAGATGATAGACTTTCATGATGACTAGAAACAGACTTTATTCCTTCATTCACCCACTCATTCAACAAGCATTTAATGAAACATATTAAGTGCTAAGCAGTACAAATCAATAGTCAACAACAACAACAACAAAAACTTGAGAGGTCTATGCCCCCATTAATTTATATTGTGGCCAGATAGAAAGTCATCTCCTAAAAGTTTAGTTACCATTTGAAAAACGACAGGTAAAAAGTTCAGGGGATTACATTTCCCAGACATTAGGCTTAAGTCCATATAAAATGTTATTTAGACAATTATTTCTCATTGATGAATTTGTTCCTAATTAGAAAGTGCTTCTCAGATGTAAGACTTCAAATCTGGTCTCCAATACTGTAGTGCCCACCTGTAGCTAAGGGAGACAACCAGCCATTGTTCTAAAATGATGGATAAATTTGTTTTCTCCCCCTATCTAGGAGCCTTTGAGAAGGAACTGACCCTGATTTTAACCACTCCAACAGCTATCAAAGTGCCTGAAAACAAATCCTGAGTCCATCACAACTGAGCCCAGCCTTGGTAGACAGAAGGAAAACAAGGAGCAACCCAGTAGAGGGATGCTTTTGGAAGCTCTCTTCAAGAAATCCCAATGGACTTTGGTAGGAACATTTTACATTTGCCCTGTTCTGACTTTTTTCTGATTCTCTGTCGAGAACTTGTAATGTTAACTACTCTTGCCTATACTTCTTCTTCATATGCTATATTCACCAACCAAGGACTTTCTTTTCTCCCTACATATAAGAGTTATGCAATTTGGGAGTCTTTTAGCTAGACCCACTGAAGGAGTACACCAATTGCCTCATCCTGCATCCCTGTTCAGCATGGAAGAAGCCAGAGTGGTCTGTATCCTGATTCCTTATAGGCAATTTGGGTAACCTCTTCAGAGGATGGTGTGATAAGTAGGAGGTAGGAATTGGTTAGGTAATTAGGGTAAAAAGACCCCAAAGAGAAGTAACCAGTTTCTTGGCTAAAAGTCAAATGTCCTTAGGCTTCTTGGCAACATACTCTGTTCCAAAGGCCAAAAATGTGAAAAGTATTTGGGAGCTGTTCTCTAACCCTAGAAGATTTTATGGTTACCTTTTCAGAGGGAGGAATGTTAGAGTAGCAAAAAGCCCCAAAAGAAAGAAAAGAAAGAAAGAAAGAAAGAAAGAAAGAAAGAAAGAAAGAAAGAGAGGAAGGAAGGAAGGAAGGAAGGAAGGAAGGAAGGAAGGAAGGAAGGAAGGAAGGGAGAGAGAAAGAAAGAGAGAGAGAAAGAAAGAGAGAGGAAGAAAGAGAGAGAGAGAAAGAAAGAGAGAGAGAAAAAGTACATGAAATTGTCATCAAAAAGTGATAGGGAGATATGGGAGGTATTGGAGGGGAGGGAGTGCACATGGATTTAATCAAAACACCTCATAAACATGTATGAAATTCTCAATAAATTTTTTAAAAGTTAAAATAAAAGACTAGAGTGTCGGGGCTGGAGAGATGGCTCAGCGATTAAGAGTACTGACTGCTCTTGCAGAGGACCCGGGTTCAATTCCCAGCACCCACATGGCAGCTACAACTGTCTGTACTAGAGTGTCAAAAGGTCTTTGAGTGTCCACATTTTACTGGAGATATCAGGGTCCCCAGTTGGGGTTCTTGGTCATATAATACAAGAATATAAGGACTGACTTAAAGGGAAGGGTGAGGACAGTTTTATTAGCATAGAAAAGAAAACCCCAGGGTGGCAAGCTGTAAATCCCTGAAGCCACCCTCAGGAAAAAGGTGCAGAAGAGAGAGAAAAAACGTCATTGGAGTTAAGCTGGCAGAAATCAACCAGCTGTCAGGAAGGGGGCTTTAGAGAAAGACCGAAAAATCCGAAGTACCAGAGAAAGGATACCTAGGCTCTAGAGAGCATTGAAAAGACAGAGACAAATGAGAATGGTAAAAGTTATGTCTTTCTGAGTCAAGACTCCAAAAGGTGGGCACACCCAGCAGAATCTCCTGGTGGCTCTGCAGTGATTGTAAACCATCTTTGAGAAGGTGTTCTCTGTGTTGGTATGTGCAAAGTGAGTCAGCCTCAAGGGCATGAAAGAGACTGCACATGTAAAAGTCCCCGGACAGGAAAGCTGGTGACTTGAGATGCCTGAGGCAAGAAGAAACTCATGAAATACGTATGTAGGAGTCACAGTCTATGGTGCTTTATAACAGATTGTATTCAGAAGGAAACAGAAGTAAGCATAACAGTAAGATTTCTGCTATGGCTAGATGTGTGCTGTATCTACGGAAATAAGAAATGCAGAACATGAACCAAGCCAAGGAGGAGGTATCTCTTCTGATCTCATGGTTCTTAGAACTTCCAGATATAGATGGTATATAGGACTACATCAAAATCAAAAACCTATGTCCATCCAAGAACACAACAGAGTGCAAAGGCAGCCTATTTATCGACAGTGGATAAATTGAAAATCAGTGTCTGAAAAGCTGTGAATGTCTAGAATATAAAAAGAACTCCTGAAACTAACCACAGCAGATAATAACAATTTGGATAAGAGATTCACAGTGGAATGGAATAGGCATTTCCCTGAAGAAAAGATATACAACTACTATACAAGGTGGCAAAACGTGCTTAGCACAACTATTCTGTAAGGAAATGATAAGAAAACCACAATGAAATATTCACCTCACACCAATTGTGATGGCTATTAGTAAAAGAAAAAAAGAAAAAAAAAGAAGGTGATGAAAGCAACTGCTGGTGGCAAGGATGCGGAAAACCTTAAAGCAAATGCATTACTTAGTAGAAGTATAAAATGGTGTAGCTATTATGGAAAACAGCACAGAGGTTCATCAAAAATTGCAAAGTAGGGCTGGCGATATCGATCAGTGGTTGTGAGTACTGGCTACTCTTTCAGAGGACATGGGTTTGGTTCCTAGCACCCAAATGGCAGCTAACAACCCTATGTAACTCTAGTTCCAGGGGATCTAACTCACTCTTATATGACTGTGTTGCACTTATATACATGCAAGAAAAATTTTCATATATATATATAAAATAATTCTTTTTTAATTATAAATTATGTTACCACATGACCCAGCACTACCAATCACTTCTGGGTATATATCTAAAATGATTGAAAGGAACTTGTCAAAGAGATTCTTCTAATTTCCTTTCTGTTCTATGATAAGATATTCTGATAAAAAAGCAGCTTAGGGGAGAAAGGGTTTATTTTAGCCTTAAATTTTAGCATGAGGAAAGTACAGTGCCAGGATTTTGAAGCAACTAACTACATCACATCCACAGTCAGGTGCAGATAGAATGAATCCAAACACGCTTGCTTGCTTGAACTCAGCTGCATTTCTCTACTCTTACGCAGTTCAGGAGCCACTGCCTAGGGAATTCCTACATCAATTCATTTAATTAAGACAACCATACCACAGAGAAGCCTACAGGTCAGCCAATATAGAGACAGGTCAGCCCTTATTGAGACTGTTTTCATAGGTAAATTGAGAATGAAACGTAATCATCACAGAGATATTTTTATGTATCTATAACATAATAGGAATGTTGTTCACAACAGCTAAATCATGAACATATATACATATAATGACTATTATTTAGTCATATGAAGAATGAAATTCTGATATACGCTAGAACAAACATGGATGTTGAAGACACTCTACCAAATGAAATACACCAGACAGAAAAGGCTATATTGCATGGGCCCACATCTATGAAATATTAAGAATTGTCAACCAGATACAAGAAGAAATGAGAATGATTCCCAGAGGCTTTGGGAAAGGGCACATGGGTAGCTGAATAATGCATAGACAGTTTCAGTTTTGCAAGTTGGAAAAGGTCTAGAGATTGGTTTTCAAAGTTATACGTAGACTTTACACCACTGAACTGTAAATAAAAACAGTTCAGATGCTATTTTTATGCTATATATTGTATTGCAAATAAAAACAATTGAAATGCCTACTCAATAGTATGTTAACTCACTAGACATGAGAGGAAAGCTGTGGACTGAATTAATAAATTTGAGAATTAAACAGAACATTCATTTTACATGGCTTTACATTATCCTCTCCCATCCTCCTTAAAAAGTTGATGTTCATTATCCTCTCCCATCCTCCTTAAAAAGTGGATGTTCAGTGATTCTTTAAGTGTGAGTTCTTCCAACTCCATGACCCTAAAGCCTGACTTTCATATAAGAATCTGTTTTCATCTATCAATGGCCAGCAACATGAAGAGTTCCAAGTGACAGCAGACGTGGAGCTGCATCTTATGGAGTTGTGCTACGATAACAAAATCTCTATGTAATGAATTCCAAGAAATATTAAAAATGAGAAGTGCAAACAAAGAGGGAAGAGTCAAACTTTTCATCTGAGTGTCTCTTGCTTCTGCAAAGTATTCACTTGTTTATACATCAACATCATGCCTTCCTCTACCTTGTTTTCGCACATCCTCTACAGCAGCCACCAACTCTTCTTTGAGGTCTTGACTCTCCTTAGCAATCTGTTCGCCCTTTTCCAGGAAGTTCTGAGTGGCTTGCTCTACAGATGCTGCAAGGACATGGGCTTTCTTTGACCTCCCTTTCTTTTTGCCAGATGGACCTTTGTTGCTAGTGTTGACAAGTGTGGTCACCTGAAATATAAAAGAAAAACTGTAAAACTGTTCTGTAAGACTTTCTAGAAATGGGCTTGGCTCATAATTTCTAATTACACTTTTATCAATTATTAACTCATAAAGGTATATCAGGGAGCCTAATCATATAGTCTCAGCAAGAAATGGGTACACTTATACAGATTGGCATATAAATAAACAACTGCAATTTGTTTCATAAAGAAATGAAAAACAAAGGGGCAGGAGAGTTAACTTAGCAGTTAAAAGAGCTGCTTAACCCCCAATGGGTAGCTCACAACTGTCTATAACACCAGTCCCAGGGGATCCAGTGCCCTTCTCTGGTCTTTGTGGGCAATTGCACGCATGTTGCATATATGCATAAACAAATAAAAATAAAATAATTCTTTTTAAAAAAGAAATGAAAAACATAGCAGAAAAAGCAGGCATGTCAGTAGCTCAAAGATAGCAGCTCTTTACAGGCTGCGTTTAACAGACTCACAAATACAGTGCTCATTTCAGGAACCTACCTTGAGGGCTGTCTTAGTTATTTTCTATTATTGTGATAAAAACACTGACCAAAACCAACTTGGAGGAGAAAAGGGTTTATTTTCTCTTATATCTCCCAGGTCACAGTTTATCACTGAAGGAACCCAAGATAGGAACTCAGGACTGGAATCTGGAGGCAGGAGCGGAAGCACAGACCAACCTGTTACTGGTTTGCTCCTCTGCCTTGTGCTCAACCTGTATTGTACACAACACAAGACTACCTGTCCAGGGCTGGTACCACCCATAGTGTGCTCAGCCTTCCCCCCTCACTCAACAATCAAGACAATGCCCCACAGACATGGTCATTCCTCAACTGAGATTCCCTCTACCTAGGTATGTCAAGTTGACAATTACAGCTGTCCAGAACAGGAGCCTCAGAGAGGCAAAACTGATCATCTATAGCCTTGAGCCTTAGCATCCATGTAGAGATAAAAAAAAACAAAGGAAAAATGACAAGAGGTTAATACCCATCACTTGCATATTGTTTTTCTATGACTTACAATGATAATTGTTATTTCTGATTTCATCATATAATAATAAAATGGTAAGTTTGATATGTAGTATTAAATTATTTGGCTTGATATTTAGTTAGCCAACTAAATATTCAGGAATCAAAATCGGCTTTGTATTTATTATAATTCTTTTTCTTTTTGTCACCATTTTATTTCTAATTAGGGTACTTGACTATACCTGTATATGAATATATACATGTAAGTGCTGGTGTCCCTGAAGGCTGGAAAAACCACACCATGGAGTTGGAGTTACAGGTAATTGGGAGCCACCCAGTGTAGGTACTGAGAATCAATCTCAGGTCCTTTGCAAAAGCAGCAAGTGCTCTTGACTGCTAAGCAATCGTTCCAGCCCCAACTCCCTTTCTAAATATAACTTGAGCACATATATCCCAACTGCCAATATTCTTTTAGCAGTTTATCAAAAGCTACCTAATTTAATAACAAAGCTTTTAATATCTTTCAGACAACTCGTTAGCTCCAATAGGTATCGGAACCTTCTTTTGTTCTGGAGAGAAATCTGAAGGGCAATAAATGCAGGTATTATATACTCTGTCAACAGGAGTTACAATTTTTTTACTGCTAAAAGGTTTTTATCAGCCTCCTAAGAATATAGTTTCTGTGGTCTGTTTTCATTGACATTTATCAAGGTTAGCAGACAAAAGAGTTTCTTGGAGGTTATCAAGAAAGCCAGTTCACAGAAAAGTTCAAAGAGTGCACTTTTAATGTTTACTCCAAATCCTCGTCATTAGTCAACACCATGATTAATGTCCGTATGTTTTTAGGACCCCAGATAACACCAAAAGAAACAAAATTTCAGATCCATGTGTACTTCCTTTGTGATACAGGTAAAATGAGTTCTTTAGAAACGTCAGAAGTGCTTAATACAGTAGTGGGCGAAATTATCTTAAATTCTCTTTTGATTAGTAATTAATTAAATACAGTGACTTCTATAAAAATAGGGACATTCCAGTGTCAACATGACATGAAATACAACAAAAAGAGGCTAAAGCCATTAAAAGTAATCATGTCAGCTAATGGCAGTTTTGCTGTAAAATGCACAAAATGAAGAACATATTCCAGTCTTTTCAATTCCACACACAATGAGGTAGCCATTCCTAAAAAAAAAAGGTGGGGGGACTTGTCACAGACATTCCTTTTCTGGGGTGCAGACATGTTTTATTTAGTAAGGATCCATTAGCATGCTGTTCTCCCAGGAAATTCAATGCTACAGAACTCTCCAATACTTGAACTCTCCCACCCTAAGCAAGCAACAATAGTGACTTGAAACATCAGAACTTGAAAGCCTGGCCAGGAACCTGTGGCTGGGAGATCATAGGCCCTACTAACAGTATCTTGCTTAAGAAACATAGTATCAAACTGCCTTCTAAATACTTATCCTTATGCCCACAGAGTGCAACTATCCTCTCCGATCAGAAAAGCTTCTTTATGTAGCTGATGGCAGTTAACACAGACACTCACAATTAATCTAACTGCAGAGAATAAATGACTGTGGAGTGGCATAAATGGGGCATTCATATCACACACCCTCACACCCAAGTCGCAGGCAACATCACAGAAGAAGGGGCAGGAAGACTGTAACAGCCAGAGGTCAGAGAAGATTGTTGCAAAATACTGTCTTCTAGATATGACAGGGCTGTTGCTCTCAGGAAATCATAGCACCTATGGCTGCCTACATAAGACCTGCACAAGATTAAGCCAATCATTAAGGGAGGTAGGAATTCAAGAAGCCCACATCCAGCTGTGGAGCTATTGATAGTTGAAGGTCAATGAGAGAGGAAGATACATTTGATGGTGCACCATGTCCATATGAGCAGCACTAATTTGACTTAGTAGGTTACAAGAGGAGGAGAAGGAGGAGGAGGAGGAGGAGGAGGAGGTGGTGGTGAGTTGGGATGAGGATGGGGGTAGATCCTAGAGAAGTTTGAGGGAGTCAGTGAGAAGTGGATGCAATCTAAAAATTAAAATTAAAATCTCAGTTTGGGCTATGCAGTTTTCCAAATCAGAGGAAAATATTCTCTATTTTCAAATGATGTATTCTCATTGTATATGTAATTTTGTCAGTTCTGTGATCTCTGTTTTTGTACTTCTCAAATTAGAAAAATAATGGAGGAGAGAACTATTAATTTCAGATATACTGACATCTTTAAAAACTGAAGTTGACAGTGGTGCTATCAAATTAGCTTAGTGACAATATCACAGGCTCATCTTTTGTAAAGGCAAACATATTTTGGCCTTTTTTGTTATCTCACATTGCATTACTGTATTAGGCAGAATTTAAGTGATACTCATAATAACAAGGCTGTCTTAGATTCCTTTAATGTTACTGTGATAAAATGCCCAGACAACAGCACTTTGAGACAGAAGAGGTTCATTTGGCTCACAAGTCCAGGTTATAGTCCATCCTTGCTGGGAAATAAAGGTGGCACCAACTGGAAGTCGCCTGTCATAGTGCATTCAGTCAGGACCACAAAGCAATGAATCAATGCAGTATGCTAGTGTTTACCTTACTTTTTCCACTTGTATATAATCCAGGATTCCCTGCCTTGGGAATGATGCTACCCACCCTAGGCCAGTCTTACTTATACTCAAGACAATCCCCCATAAATAGATATGTCCACAAGTCAACCTAATCTATAGAGCCCTATTTGAGATTAGCTTCTAGACTGTATAGAGTTGACAACTGAAACTTACCATCACAAAGACAGAATAAAGATTCAGTTGTGTCTACAAAAATAAATATGGAATATTATCTGGAAGCTTTTAAGAAAAATGTGCTTGTAAGAAAACCAATGTAATCTTTTAGAAAAAGTTTTCATTTACTCACTAGTAAATAGAAATAAATGAATAAAAAAAGAAGACAGAGAGCTATGTGTCTCCATGAAGGTTCATGTAATCTTCATCACTTCAGAACAAAGAAGTAATTACTCATATTTTGAATCGTTACTCATTGTTTTATTGAAGGACAAAGTCAATAAGTGAGGCAAAAAAATAAATAAAGTATTAGAAAAGACTACATTAAATTACCTCATTATTCATAGAAAATAGTATTTTCAAGAAAAAGTAAAAGGCTATAGTGATGACTTAGCAGTTAAGAGCACATGCAGTTCTTAAAGAAGACCCAAGTTTGGTTCCCAGCACCCATTTGGGTGGTTGAAAACCACCTGTAACTTCGGCTCCAGGGAATATGACACCCTCTTCTGGCTTTGTGGTTGTTGAAATAAGAACTGTTCCCCATAGGCTCAACTATTTGAACAATTGGTCAGTCAGTGACACTGTCTAGGGAGGGTCATGGAACATTTAGCAAGTATGGCCTGACTGGAGGAAGTACGTCACTGGGATTGGGTGTTAGAAGAGATCAGAGCCTTGCTATGCTTCTAGCTTGCTCTTAGCTTCTTCTTCCTGCTTGAAGACGTGAGATTGGAGCTTTCTGTTCCAGCTGACTCCTGCCATGCTTCCTCTGATATGATGGGTTCTGATCCTTGTGGAACTGTAAACCCAACTAAATTTTCCTTCTATAAGCTGCTTTGGTCCTGGTGCTTATCACAACAACAGTAAGTAAATTAATACAGGCTTCATCATACACTTGCACTCCTATGCACATACCATGCACAGACATACACAAACATGTGATTAAAAAGAAAAATACTGTCCCATAGCACTTGTGACAGCATGCAGAAGACCTGAACAAGCACAAACCAGACAAAAATCTGGCCTGGAAGTGTCAGTTGAGCAAGATGCTGTAGTCCAACTGAGGAATTGTTGGCAACTGGACACATTTGGGAGAGGGAAAGTAACTTTTCTTTAAGCATGTGATGCTAGGTAGGTCAATCTGGCTGCTGGAATATAGACCATATATGGAGCATTTGGGGGAGAACATTAGGCTGATAGGTCTTAAAATAAGAGATGATATGAAGTGAGGGGGCGAAGGAGGTGACGGTGATG